CCCCCCCCCCGAAAGGAGCACCCCTGTGCTTCTTGCCTTGTGCACGACGACTTCGTAGCGGAGCAGCAGTGGCGATGGTGTGGACAGTGGGGACATAGATCTCTTCGGCCAGAGAATGGAGAGGAAGCATGAAGCCGGGACGTCTCAGCGCTGTAGTACCACATTGGTATGCCATGTACTTGGAGGCCCTTTTGACTTAGNNTATCCCCCAGGAGCCCTATTATAATCCCCATAACCCACCTTACTAACCCTACGTACTAAGTCAAAAGGGCCTCCAAGTAGTACTACCCGCAGCCGTAAACCCGTCCTACAGCCAGCAAATCCGATGCCAACCGATGCTTCACGTTTGCGTCACTCCGCTGGGTGAATTTCATGCCAAGTTCCTTAGGTGTCCAGTTCACACACCAAACAAAAGGGATTATGAATGTGGGATTTGGGTAAAAGGTTTAGGGTTCATAGAGTGTACCAGTCCAGAAGAGGCTAAAGAAGCTCCAAAACTCTACTGTAAACCCGAAACCCGAAACCCTAAACCCTAAACCCTACATGCCCAACACCGCCAACCTCAAAAGCCCAGACCACCTGAGTCTTGAATAATGAAACTCTAAACCCTAAAGAGCCCTAAAAATCTGGCCCGCCATAAACCCTACGAAGGATCCAAAACATCAAAAAGCCATAATGTAGGGGGCTTAATAATCAGAATAGGGTTTTGGGGTATATTATAATACCATTATAACAAGGAACCTCCAAAATAGTGTAGGTAATTATTCAGGCCCCTACATTACAAAGGATCCAAAACATCAAAATGCCATAAACCCCGTACCTCGAACCCTGAACGACTACTTGAACGACGGAGGTTCCCACAACTCGAGCTCGCGAGTGCCTTTCGCCGGTGATCCGCGGAGGAGTTCGCAATCCCAGCTTCCGTGCCAATTGATCATATCTCCTGGGTTAAGGTTTAGGGTTTAGGGTTTGAGGTATAGGGATTTCCTGGATTAATATAGGGACTTTGATAATTAGAAAAGGGTTTTGGGGCTCACTATACTTTAATTTATACTAAGGGACCACCAACATAGTATAGGTAATTATGAAGGGCCCTACGTTGAGGGTTTAAGCGGGTTCCGCATGCAGGAGCTTTTGGGGGGCTAAGGTTTAGGGTTTAGGGCTTCAGAAGTTTAGGGTTTAGGGTTTAGGGTTTAGGGTTTAGGGTTTAGGGTTTAGGGCCCCCCTAGCGTAACCTTCGTGAAGCGCTGCAAAGGTTCTCTTTGCCCAGCGCGCGACGGGCATCCCCGAGAACCTCCGCCTCTTCCTGAGAGTTGTCTTGTTTCGGGGGGTTGAGGGTTTAGGGTTTAGGGCTTGGGGGGTTTAGGGTTTAAGGCTGTGGAGTTTAGGGGTTACCTGCCTAAGAAACCTACTTCTCAAGGACTTGTATAAGGAAATCGAACCCTAAACCCTAAACCCTAAAAATTCTAAGGAACCCCAAAAGTGCCCTAAACCCTAAACCCTAAACCCTAAACCCTAAACCCTAAACCCTATAAATTCTAAGGAACCCCAAAAGCGTAGGCTTCTGAGGGTCCAGGTAGGGGTTGGGTTTTCGGGCTTAGCGTTTGAGGGTGGGGCTCGTGGGTCTCAGGGTTTCGGGCTTGAAGGCGCGAGGGCTTTGGGGTTTGGGGTTTAGGGTTTAATGTTTCGGATTTAGGGTTTAGGGTTTAGGGTTTAGGGTTTAGGGCTTGGGGGTCTAGGGTTTAATGTTGAGGATTTAAGGTTTAGGGTTTTACGGGCCTTGGGATAGACTATGTACCAAGGTGCCGACATGAGCGGCAACCAGAATATTTGATGATGTGTGTGAAGTTAGGGATTCTTGTTGAGTGCTTGGGGCTTAGGGTTTAGAGGGGACCAGAAAACCAACCCTAAACCCTAAACCCTGAACCCTAAACCCTAAATCCGAAACATTAAACCCTAAACCGTAGAAGCCCAACCTCGAAGG